GTCCAGGGTGTCCCCTGCCTTCACCCTAAGTTGGCTAGGATAGGCTCCAGCCCCCCCGCAACCCTAGTGAGGATTAAGCGGTGTGCAGATAATGGATGGATTTTATCTGTAGGCATTGTTTCAAGTGTTCCAAAAGTAGACAATATTTTGTCTTTTTGGGGGTTCATTTTTATTTTTAACTGCCATTTAAGGTTTGAGTAGAAAATTTTTTAAAAGGCTCCTCAGAAGTGTTTGCCGTGTGTCTGACAGTCTGAAAAAATCTGAACTATAAACAGCATGAGTCAGGGTTTAATCTCCGGGCTCTGTGAGTAGACGGGGAGTTTTCCCTCCAGAGCTCTGCAACATTTCACACTGTTTCCACTGGATTACTCAACACCTTCTGGGACCTCCACTGATATTTGCAGTATATAAGACATGGGAGGATGCACAATTTAAATGAACACGCAGTTCTGCGGGTGTTACGAGGCCTGCATCTGTTGCACTCGGGTGGAGAGAGGGGCCAAGTATTGCAGGGGGTCATCGGAGGTTCATGTACTCACGTCTAAATTTCTTTGAAATAAAATGTCAGCCAAATGTTAAAGCCTCCCTCCAGTGATCTCACAAACAACTTTGACATGTTCCAAGAAGTGTTTCATGTAAATCAATCATGTATATAGTGCAAAATATGAGGGGAAATGATCCTGCCAAATGGAATGGACACGGCTGAGGTTGTCCTCTCAAGTTTCATTGTGATGGGGATTATAACTGGTGGAGAAGAGTCAACTTTGCTTTTCAGACAAGCTTTGAAAATTGAATGCAGCCACATTAAATGGTTCTTTAAAGTGGAGTGTCCGGGGGATTTGTCTTTCACCAAATTACACAGAACCCTCATATTCATTTCTACACAGACTTACTGTAAACTCACAGAACTTTGTTCACGTCAAAGCGGCAAAATTTCATCACAGTCATAACATTTAAATTCACACAAAATCTGCAGAATGGAGCTCTATGTGGTCACAGATGAGTGCACAGTGAATGAACTCACCTCAGAGTTTACAAATGATTGAAATGGAACACGTCGGTAGCTAACTGATAATTAATAAACACTGAAATAGTTGTGGGGGCTGCAAGGTGGTGCAGTTGGTAGCACTGTTGCCTCGCAGCAAGAAGGTTGCCGGTTCGCGTCCCGGTGGGGGCACCGGAATCTTTCTGCGTGGAGTTTGCATGTTCTCGCCGTGCAGCGTGGGTTCTCTCCGGGTTCTCCGGCTTCCTCCCACACAGTCCAAAAACATGTTGAGGTTAATTGGTGATTCTAAATTGTCCGTAGGTGTGAATGTGAGTGTGCTTGGTTGTCTGTCTCTAAGTGTAGCCCTGTGATAGACTGGTGACCTGTCCAGGGTGTCCCCTGCCTTCGCCGTAAGTCAGCTGGGATAGACTCCAGCCCCCCGTGACCCTAGTGAGGATTGAGCGGTGTATAGATAATGGATGGATGAAATAGTTGCCTTATACCTCTGAACCAAGGGTAATACAAAAGATAATGTCAGGTTGCTTCAGAACAGTGATGATCAGTCAGATGTTATTATCTTTATGGTGCTTGCATATGTTTATATGTACTGTGGCCTGGTCATATAAAGACATTAAATAGCCTTTTTTTTTTTTTTTTTTTAGTTCTGACACTGCGAAGAAGAAACCATTTCAGAGCATTTCCACTGGTTGTGGAGTGAGAAAATGGTACAGTTTCCACCCTGGAGGCATCCGTAGCAGGAACATGCCATCTCACAACCAGCACCATTTTTCAAAGTGTTGCCAAGTTTGGCACATTCATCACCACCTGGTGCTGCTGAGATTAAATGGATGTAGCATTTGTTGTGCATAATTTCTTTTGCATTCAAGTTGGTGGAGTTGCGGTGGAGAATTTTTACAACAGGCTCGGTGACATTAGTGTTGAAATGATTCATTGCTGCACGGCTGCTATTTACTCTAATTTACAGTTTTGATTAGGTGGAAGTAAAAATGTCAACTCTTGCTGTAGTTTTTCAAATCTCCCTGAGGCCTGGTGATAAAGACAAGAAGACTTATTGTATTTCAATATTCCCCAAAGTGCCTCCAATCCATTGAGCCTCACAGTTTTTGCAGATTTGTTTAAAAAAAAAAAAAAAAACTCTGGGCTTAAAGGGTTATTGCAGCTTGATATAGTTTTATACCAAACTCATGTCACATCATTTAAACCGTGAGTCCTAGATATGGAGGATTTCTGACATTTGTGGCATACTGATGTCTCTGCAACACCAGGATGCTCTAACTGGCTCACCAGAAGTGAAATGTAGGTGTTGTTGATGCTTTTAATTACACCTGTGCTTTCCTACAAGTCAAAGTGTCTTTTCTAAATGTTTAAATGCAGGTGTGTAACTTTACATGGTTTTGAGAGAGAGAGTGTTCAAATATCTGTGTAGATGAACCAAAAGGGAGCGACTGGATGAATGTTGAAATGTTGTGTACCTGTAACTGTTGTTGAGGAGAAAAGGTTGATTGATCTTAGTGACATTTATAGGAAAGAGCTCCAACTCCGTTATCAATGGCAATGTTTTCTTTTGGCATTGGTTGCTTGTCATCGCTTTTTCGCACATTTTTTGTAAATATCCGCCGCATATATTTGAATAATGTGAATATAGCAAATGTGTTGTGTTTGATTATTTGTACGTAACAAAAAGTCATAACAGTATTTGTCTGATTTTGTATACATTTCACACAGACAAGGCTTCGGCTTATTAATGTGCAACAACCTAAATATTACAAGTTATGTTGGTGTTGAAATATAAATACTGTAATAGAAACACTTTGGTGAAAAGAACCAACATCCAACATGGGATAGGCTCCAACCCCACCTCATCCTCTAGTAGCAGGGGGGTAGTTAATGGTATTAGTTAATAAATTAGGTTTACATTCCTGTGGATAAATCAGGTTCCAGACCAGCAAAAGTTAGTGTTCAGTTTAGTTGTAGATTGTCCATCCATTATCTATATACTATCCTCACCAGGGTCATGGGGGGCTGGAGTCTATCCCAGCTGACTTAGGGTGAAGGCAGGGGACACCCCGGACAGGTCACCAGTCTATCACAGGGCTACACTTAGAGACAGACAACCGAGAACTCACGCTTCACGGGGAGAACATGTAAACTCCACGCTGAAAGATCCCGGGTGTCCTCACCAGGACGCAAACCAGTGACCTTCTTGCTGCGAGGCAACGGTGCTAGCCACTGCTCCATCTTGCAGCCCGTATATTGTAAATCATAAAAATTATTTAAATAACTTAATAGCCTGCAAATCATACCGAGAGGTTTACATTTGGGTTATGAAAGTTGTCACCACAAAGACAGATCCTGTAACACAAAGAGAGGTACTAAACAAGATACGTAAAGTTGTGCCATAAACTGTCTTTTTCATTCTTACATCTGTGGTGAATGTGCTCTTGATTTTATGCCAGACTGAGTGCAACAGCTTTTCTGTTTTTTGGGTTTTAAAAAAATGTTTTTAATATTGGCGGCAATAGCAACAAAACTAAAAACAAGCCAAACACAAAACTGAGTGCCAGGAAGACATAGATTAAGTTGTTGCTGGTGTAGCTAATGATGATCCCATTCCATCTGGGTGATCCTGAAAGACATTCATCTCAGTTGAATTTAATTTATATGGCACCAAATCATGACATAAGTCACTTCAGGGCACTTCACCTGTTAAGGTCAAAACCTTCAAGTATTGTAATATAGAGAGAAACCCAACAATCCACTCTTGAGTAGCTTTTTGTGGCAGTTTCTCCGGCCTCGGCTGGCTGGGGAGAAAGAAATAGTAATCATTGAGAAAGAACACTCAACAAACTCTAGACAGATTCATGAGGCCAGATCAGAGACATGTAGCTTCAGAGCCAAAGGTATCTGCAGAAAGAAAGGTACAGAGAGAGAGGACAGACACGAGAAACCACAAAGTACAGGGGAGAGAAGACACGAGGCAATGGTCCTCCAGCCATCTGGGCATACAGCATCATAACTAAGAGGTGTTTAGGGTCACCTGAGCCAGCTCCAACTAAAAGCTTTTTTGACTTATATGACTGCTTATTTCACTCATGATGTGTCTTTGAGGAGTAGAAATATATATAACAAAGTGTAACTGAGACATTGTCGATGGCATTTGTCACAGCTGTCTTTTCACTTTTTATTAATGTCCAAATGTCTTACAAATGGAGAGCAACCAGATGTGTAGCGGAACAGAGACACTTCAGGGACTTTTAGCAGCTAATGTTACATGTTTAATGAAAAAGAACTTGGAAATGATGGAGTTACATCTTTTTTTTTTTAATGTCAAAAGAAGGAAAAGGGAAACCAAGCCATAATCCCAGCAGCTTGTCTTGCTGCAGGGTGGATCAGCCGGTATCATCTCTGTTGGTGCTGCCATAGATTGACTGATGGCGTATATTTGCCTCAGAGTTTCCCTGCATCATCTGCCTAGAGAGAATAACTGGCTAATGTACGTTTCTGCTGGTCTACTGGTTTTTCAGCATGGTTCACAATTCTCCGTTTTTATAGCCCTCTGTGAGACTCGCAGGTTGGATGATGTCAAACTTGGAGTTCTGCGGTTAAAGTATTTTTCCGCATTCATAGGTTGAATATGTACAGAGACACAGAAGAAGTCTAATGATGTAGCTGCATTAAAGCAGCTATAAAGAGATGTTGAAATCACGTTTCCCTTCAAGTTGGGAACCTTAGATGAAAGAGCAGATCTTATTTATCCCCTATTACATACACCCATCTCACTGCATCACACACACACACACACACACCCTGTAATCTTCTCATTGCCATCCTAATACATCCATTTCTGTCCTTATTTCAGGGATTCACTATCGCAAGTCCTGTGCCTCGTCAGGAGCCTGTCTTATCGCTTCCTCTGGCTACCAGCAGTTCTGCACCGGCAAGCTCAACTCAGTGTGCATCACCTGCTGCAACACGCCGCTGTGTAATGGACCACGGCAGAAGAAACGACCCCAGCCCTCCGCTGCCGTCGCCCTGAACACGCCGCAGCTCCCGGTGTTTTTCCTCCACATTGTCCTCTTGCTGTCCTCCACCCTGTGCTGACAGACCTTGGTGCACTGATGTGTGTTGAAAATGTTCTGCTGCTGACAGTAGAGACCACAGGAACTGGAGGTGTTTAGGCTGAGACATGCACACACTGAAATGTTTATACGTGAACAAGCTTTATCCAGTGTTTGTTTCTGGTGAGTCCCTGGCTTTCTGTTGCAGCTTGCCTCTAAAGTTCAAAAGCAAAAAGCTACGTAACGCTGGAAAATGTCATCTTCATGTGTCATGTCTTCAACGCGATCATGGCGCAGCTTTGGGGGGCAGCTAGGTAAGGATAGTGCCATGGACAAAACAGCTTCTAGCAACTGTGTTAAACAGCAGGTGGCTCATCCTCATTTGTTATTATTCACGAGTCACATAAGACATATTGCTGGAAGTCGACTAAGTGTAGATTGTTGTTGGAGATCTCCAGAATAAATGTGTGATTTTTGCTGTCTGAACACCATTACCTGAAACAATTTTGCTGTGTTACAATCTGAAAAAGACAATAGATGACAAGATGTAACAACGTGATGTTGCTCAATGATTGTGGATAGAAAACTGCAGTTTAGATAATTGATTTGATGTAGAAAGCAACCTTCCTCCATTCATTTTTTTAAAACAGCCATTCCAGTCTGTTCATAGATGTTGTACATAGAACTACAAGGCATGCTGATACACGGTTTCTTTCAACTACTCATCACAGCACCCTCTGCTGACTAAAATATGGCATAATGAGGGGCTGGACAATCTGTGAATGTCCAGGATGATGGACCTCAACAACTTTTTTTTTGCGTTTTTGCAACTGGTCTCTTCAGAAAGAGATTTTACAGAAAAAGTTGTCCTATATAAACATAAGGGAACGTGAGGCGTGTCTTGGTACAGAGTAAGTCTGAACTCAATGTGGAATCTAAACTCCTAAGGATGGGAGGATGCTGTACAACTAGTTTGCAATTGGGAATCCTCACCACTAGCTCAACTAGGTGCTGGTGATTTTACTTCAATAGAGCTGTATGTCCCCGTCCTGCACCATCGTAACTCTAAATATCTAATTGAAAACCCTGTCATCCAATAAAAACATATATATATTTATTGTAATATAGACTGCATTGCTTCTGTTCATGAACATGTACTGAAATGTAGTGATGTCTGTGGGCTACACGTAAGGAACCCAAAGTCTGTTGTAATAATTTTAGCTTCAGGCAAGTAATATGGTAGTAACACATATTTTAATGAAGTTATTCGTTTGCTTCTAAGACCAGAATTCTTCCAAAAGAAATATGTTATTGATTAAAAAAAACAAAAAAAACACTTCGGACACGGATCAGAGCGAAGGCTTGCTGAGATAAAACTGCTGTCCTTGGCATGAAAGCTCACGTTGTCGGCCGTTCATCTCAGAGCTGCTGACTTTTGAGATGACTGGATAAATACAGGAAAAACTGAGAGGTACTTAGCAACCCTGTACAAGTCCAATGTGTCTACGATAAAACAGCTGGAGCAGGAACACAGTCAGGTGGGCTGACATGGAAAAGTTCTTAGGTCGTGACTGATGACATTCCACAAGACCAAAAGTATCCAGACTGATAAAGGCCTAATACATATGGCAACTTATTGGTATGGCTACCTTATCAAGGTAAGGTAACAAGCTAAACTTGCAAAAAGTCAGGATAGATCATTAAATTACAAGGTGTGATTAAGTCATTTTTAGGCTGTATCTGTATGAAAACAAAAAAACCATACCTGATAGAAGTTTGGTCCCTACTCCCTTTGACTTGTGCAGCGACACATCACTCAAAGTGCTCCTGCCACGTTAGGTATGCTCTCTGGAAGTCCAGTTCTGACTTATTGCTGTGATTTCAACATTGATGCAGAGAGCAAAATATCACATTCATTGTCAAAGTGACCGGACCTCCATGTTGGGGATCATCACTGGTGACAAGAGTCGGGTCTACGACTGTGACCTAGAGACTAAACAGCAGTGTTCAGGGAAACAGTCTGCAGTCTTAAGGCTGAAGAAGGCACATCGGATCAAAAGCACAACTAAGAGCATGCCCTGCTGTGCACCATGGATTCGTCTTTCTGGGTCAGAATGTCAACATTGAGTTCTACTAAGGGAGAACATTTGGGGCAAATAACCTGAATTAAGATGCATGACCATCATCCACTAACATACTCGTTTTCAAACGCTCCCTGTGTATTCTTGTTGGTCACAGTTTTGACACAGTAGAGGAGATCCAGCGTGCGTCGCAGATGTTGCTTGATGTGCTTGGGTTTCAAGAAACCGTTCCTAATGTGGCAGGAGCACTGGGAGCAGGGTTTTGCTGCACATGGCGACTACTTTGAAGCGCACTGTGTACAATATTCTGTTGCTTTTACAAAAGTTAAGTTGACACATAAAAAGTGTCTTTGTTGCGGGTGTCAGCGCATAACATCAAGTTTGTTTTTTCCTTTGGAAGTGGCCTGAAACCTAAAGGTACCTTGTGGAGTTTTCATGTAAACAAATACACAAATTGTCATATTCATTGTTTACTGAGATATCTCTGAAAGACTATTTTACAGTGGTTTCTATTGTAAAGCTTGTAGATGATCGTGCAACCTGCAATTCCAGCTGTGGCCAACATCCTCATGTGCCTGCTAGAACATGAGTTACAAACACAACAGGGAACCAGTCATCAGTGCACTACTACTAGTGGTCCACTTGGTACCTTTAACTGAAGCTGTGGGGTTTCATGCTGAATTAAAGGAAGCTTTTGTATAATCATTTTATGACTTGACACACATTTCCCAATTTTAGGTTAAATGTCTTTTCAAGATGTCCCATCTGTTGCATCATTTTGTCAGCTGAAGGTGATCTGTCTGAACTTATACTGTGTTTGCTGTGTGTAAGGAATATCTGTCTACTTGTTTCTGATGCCACAGCACAACACCCATGGATAAAGCTGTGTTTATTTTTACTGTGTTGCATTAAATTGAACAGCACATTATATTTCACTCTCTGATGGAGCATCTGTCTTTGTTTTGTGATGTGAATCCGGCTGCTCAGCCACGCTCAGCGACGCCTGAGTATCTGAGCCCACTCCTGAGTCACTTTGCGACAGAAAAGTTGTGAAAGTGGGGGAAGTTTTCTCCTCTGCGACGGTGGCGCGGCTCGCCCTGTTGCGACGCAGGGACTTCAGCAGCAGGGGCTGGAGGGAGCGCCCAGAGGCAGCATTGGAGTACTGCAAAGTGCGCTTGTTGATGTGTTCGATGGTGAGTTTGCACCGCAGCACCTGGACAAACACCTCCCTGAACTGCCTGGAGGAGAGGTTGTAGAGGAACGGATTGATAACGGAGCTGAGGTAGAAGAAGCTGTCGGCCACAGGGTGGAGGGTGACGTAGCTCCGGAAGTAGGAAGTGGTCCAGCGGGACTTGGGCAGGGCGGCCATCATCAGACGCCGAATCTGGTTGGGAATCCAGCACACCGTCAAAGATCCTATGATGAGGCCTGGGGAACAGTCAGAAACACAAAAGATGAAAAGAAAGAAGGGAACACTGACAGAAAAACCACAAAGCATATGAAAGCAAAAGAACAGGTTCAGGGAGGAGGTTAACTTGCTTTCTTGCTGAGAGAAGAGAAGACTGACATTACTCTTATGTCTGTCTGTTAAATACATAATAATATAAAATAGAAGATGGAAACAGGAGAAAACATTTAATAATAATCTTCTTTGTTTAACCTTTTGACCACCAAAACAACCTTTGAAAGGCATGATAAATTTTTAAAAATGCCAATATTGCAATATTTATCAATGCCAGAAAACATAGACAGGAATAACAGAAAGGATTTTGGTTTTCAACTTGTTGACTACCACTTTATCCAAGATGTTCACCAAGAATAAACCTTTTGCACCAAATCTTGTTAAAAATAAATCATTCTTCACCTCTCACTGACACATTTGTAGTCAAGTGAGAAACCTTGAGGTACAACTCGGATGAACTCGGAAACAGGCACAGAAGCAAATTAGAAAGATTGAGAGCAAAATAAAACACACCTGAGAAATAGCATAATTACAGCATGGTTCAAAAACAGTATACAGTCGGGCAAGTTGTTGGAACATTTATATAGCATTGTAAAAAAACAATTCTACTGTTGATGTGCAGAGTGGTGTGAAAAACATCAAGTTTTTAGAGGCTGTAACATATAAATAGTAAAATATCTATAGTATGCAGATCCACCATTTTACCCAGTATGGGTTACAGCTGTGGCCACTGGTGTTGTACTTCCTGACTCCTGTTTTTCTTTTATTTTTTGCTAAACCAATAATTTAAAAAAAACAACTTTCTTTTCTTTCTTTTTTCCGAGATGTACAGAAAAAGACATTTCTGAGTTCTCAGTACTTCGAGCCATGGTTGTGCTGTTTCCGTGGAGATGTGTGACTTTATATGAAGTGAATAATGAGTTAAAAAAAATGAGACAAAAGCAAAAAACACCCAGAAACTTCTTGGGGTTCAGAAGGTTAATCTATGCAAATACAAGTATAGTAATGTACAGAATAGTTTCTTAAACAGGAGCAGTAACTTGGTAATGATATAAGAATCAGAGACTTTACTTTTAAACAGCCCTTGTTGAGGTGTCATACAACTTGTTAGTGGTTTACAAGCTAAATGTGTAATTAATGAACCTCAGAGTTGCAGGGAGCCACTTTATTGATTTTTTCCCATTGAGCAGAGCCTGATTAGTGGCTGTTTCCAGTCTTTATGCTAAGATAACACTCTGCCAGTTACCATGTTTAACAGACACACATGAGAGTGGTACTAACTACAAATTCTCGTAAAGAAAAAAGTACTATTAGTGGAGTGGTCTTTACAAATAGACTCCGTCGTCAGATTCATAATAATCCCACTGAACTTTTCATATATATGGTGTTTGTGACTTGATGCGAACTCAGATGATAAACACACGCCTTTGCCACATCATCCACAGCTATCCGAAACTGGAATTTGGCAACCAAGGCCTGTTTGGCTCTTTGCCTGGTATGACTTCTTACGGTGCACACCAGTTCATAAGGGTTCCCAATGCTTATCCTTGTAGACAGATTTTTAATTTTTAACATTTTCATTCCTCAACAAAATGTCAGAGCACCATGACGAAGACAACACCACTGTTTTTTTCTTCTCGGAGAAAAAAAAGACTGATTCAATTGGACATGATTGAAATCACACCGCCTGATGTTTTATTCTTGCCGGTCCATGTTTTTTTGTATACCAGCTGTACTGCAAATGCTCCGAGAGAAAAAAACAAATCAAAAAAATTACCCGCAGTGTCTGCACCCTGCACTTTTGGGCAACATTTTACCACTGATTCACCAAAGTGGAAATGAGTGCATCGACCTCCAGACCACATGACGCTCTCTCTGCCTGCTCAACACTGGTGGAATGTGCTGTGTAAATTTACACAAGTACTGTGTTTTCCATTTCGCATTTCAGAGGAAAACACTGCAGCTTATACTCCACTGTGTTTATTTGGCAGCTTTTGAAACTGGTTATTTACTTTATTAAATTAGGATTTATGATTCAAAATGTGTTGTTATAAAACAAAACAAACAAAAGCGTGAATTAAGCTACACCAAACTACGTTCATTGCTAAAACTACAGAGACACTGGGCCTAACAAAATCCAAAGTTTCACAGAGAAAGAACAAACTACAAAATGGGTGGGAGGCTGAGCACAGAACTGAGATGCTGTCAGGTTCTTGTCAGGCTTTTTAAACATCCAGATGTTGTGAAGGAGCCAACCAGCTGCAGACACCTCCGGACACATCCAGCCAATGAGGAAGAGACCCACAGGTAGACGATTAAAACTCCTCAGACACACTCTGGGACATAAATAGTCACACAAAACAGCGCGGGGGGAAAAACTAGACACAAGTCAATAATATGGCCAAGGTGGGAAGATGAAAAAGGTCAGTCAAAGATTGATCCATAATGGAATCTTTTACAGAGTAGTTGCACATTCCTATACTGTGGTATTGGTGTTTTTACTTAAGAAAGCGGTCTTGAATAACACCACTGCTGTTAAAGCAGCCCGCTGCCTTGTCTGAGTCATGTGCTTACTCTTTGGAAGGACACATCCTCATTCTCTAATCTGGTGTTTATCCGTTTCCCTGCAGTGTTTTTAATGGGACTAACACTGCAACCAAACAGCCTTTCAGCATTCACAAAATGATCCGTCTTGAGACAACGCTTCCTGCCGAGGACCACAAGTATAAACACATTCATTTATAATGCCGTGTTCAAGACTGCTGAGGGAATTATTTATCCCAATGTCATTTAAGACAAGCAACAAAAAAAGAGAGAAAACAGAAAGCGGATAAACAAATGGTAAAAAAAAAAATTGTTTTCACAGAGAGGCAAATGCATAAATCTCCTGTCATGTTTGTTTACATGTGGCCATATTGCACTGTCCAGTATTTCTGCTGAGCGACAGGCACCTACGTATGGTTGGATTAGGTCCAGGTGCTACTGGAAGCCTTCAGCGATGATCTCAAGTGTCAGCAGGCTTTGATCACTACAGTCCATGTTCGGCTGTCTGTCAGTATCCAAGGTCATGATTACCAATGATAACACCAAGGACATGTCCTTAGTATTTCAGTTAAAATTTCTGGATTTTAGGAACCTGTGTTGTATTTTAAAGGTTCGATATGCAACATTTGCAGCCAGTTGATGTCGCTAGAGAACCAGCATCTCAAAACAAACAGGCGTATCAGCCCCACCTTCACTTTTTATTGAGCACCATAAAGGCTGTGTGCACAAGCACCAACATTAACAACCCAGTCACAACCATTAGCTCACGCTGGCATCGTAAAATACACTTAGCGGCAATTGATGTTGGTTTATCTAACATCATCCTTACTTGAGCTGTCTCGCCTTCACTCTTCTTGTTTCTGTTTCACTCTGCTTCATGCTCCAGTCCACAGATGCCCAAACCACAGCGAACTATGTGTGGAACATAGACAGTGCAGTGTGGCGGCAGAGACCAGTGGAGCAACAAAACAGCAATGGAATTTTTCACACGAAGCTAAAATAAAAACAAGTGCACCTAAATTCTGTAAACAGTACATATATATATTTAATTCTTTGGTTTTCAGGCCACTGGCTAAATACTCAGATTGTATGGAAGGTCATTCTTAGTCAATAGTTTCAAAGGGAGGGACTCACATGCACCAGCCAACATTAATGTGACCATACATGCAGGTCAGAGCAGCAAAACACTGAACGTAGAAGCTGTGATTACAGCATACACAGAGGAAGGTTGATTTCACTCCTTGCTAAACATGCAACACTCCATTTTATCATCACTAGGTGTTTTCATTCGGTGTTTGCAGCTTTATAATGCCATATTTATACGAAAATTTTTGCATGCATTCTTGAACCAAATACTGGTAAGGTCGGCCATTTTGAGTGCATCTTAATTAGTGGGCTGCAAGGTGGCTCGATGGTTAGCATCGTTGCCTTGCAGCAAGAAGGTCACCAGTTCACTGGACACCCGGGATCTTTCTGTGTGGAGTTTGCATGTTCTCCCCGTGTAGCGTAGGTTCTCTCCGGGTTCTCTGACTTCCTCCCACACAGTCCAAAAACATGTTGAGGTTAATTGGTGATTGTAAATTGTTCATTAGGTGTGAATGTGAGTGTGCTTGGTTGTCTGTCTGTCTCTCTGTGATAGACTGGTGACCTGTCCAGGGCGCCCCAGGATTAAGCAGTGTATAGATAATGGATGGATCTTAATTATTTTTAGTCAATATAAATAGATCTGCCCTGTGATGGACTGGCAACCTGCCCCAAGTGTTCCCTGTCTTCAACCTCAGTCAGCTCTGCCATATATTACAGTCCACCATTTCACAGAAGTTACATGCTTTTATTTTAAACAATCCAGCAGCATAACTCGCTTTATGTGGTTATAAAGGGATAATGTGTTGCGCTCAGTACCGACGAAGGTCTGACGCTGCTTTACTAACTCGCTGCTCTTCTACCTATTGTGTTAAGTTGGGTTTTCTGGCCCCGTGTCTCATGCCCATGTGTCTTGTTTTCTTTGCACAGGCTCCACTGCTTGCTTGAGCGCTCATTTTTCACAGTGCTCTGCAGGCACATGACAGGTCTTAACATGTGCAAACACAGCATCACTGCGGGGCCAGAGGCGAGTCCATCTGCCTGCTGATGTGACTTGAGCCTTCTAGCTGTTGGGAAAGATCAACCACTGAGCAATGCATGCTGTTGCCTAGCAGGGTCACTGGCCTCATCATCGCAGGTTGTTTTTTTTTTTTTTGGCGAATGGCTTTTAAGCAACACAAACAAGAGGTAAAGAAAAAAAAGTGATGGAAAGGCAACACTTTGACTCATGTTTACCTGTAGCCAAACATCAAGTTTTCTGCCTGGCTGTATCTATTTCAACAAAATCAGAACCTGTCACCTTCTGTGTTTTCACATAAACAGCTAAAATCAGTCAAATGGGCCAAATATATTGTATGCAAGGGCAGATATAAACCCTAATATTTTTCTCTTAAAACAGTCAGAGACACACACACACACCATCAACCCACAATCACACATATCACACACTGACATGTACCCTTGAAAAGCTGAAGTTCTTTTCATGCTTTAAGATAAAAGGTGCACAAAAAGGACACCCAGTACTTAGATCTATAGTTCATTAACTCTAATTGTAGCATGCTGATTCAAAGTCAGTACCATAAAATGTCACTGATGATAGCTCCAGTTCAGAGTGGACGAGCGTTTATCACCGTTAAAGCCAGATTCAAATCAGTGTTTTTGATGACAATAAAGAGAGAACTATTTGGAGCGAAAGTACAAAGGCAAAAAAAAAGTTGAAAACGAGCTGTGAGGAGCAGAAGAGAATGGAAACAATACTGAAATACAAATGCGCCGTGTTTGACGAGAGAGAGAGAAAGGCGGTAGAAAGTAAAGGAGTCCAGACTGTGCTCAAGATAAAAACAACTTCAGAGAAAGTTGCCATGATTCATTGTTCCCTGAAGGTTTGATAGATAATTAAAGGCTCTACAGTAATTGAACAGGTCCGTGTGTCTCAAAATGTCTGTAAATGTATTCTCTGCGTGACCTTTACAGAAACCCAAACACTTATTGGTCAGCCGGGCCAACTTTGCGGCTCGAGAAGCAATTTGTTTAATAAGTGACAACTCCGCTATTATCTGAAAATATGGAGATAACTCCGTCCCGACTGTGGTTTGACACGCTGTTCTCCTATACAGGGGTTTCAGTGAAAACTCCCTGCTAAGCACCACTGCCTCAGTCTTCCTTCTGAATGCTATAACAAAATAACAGACGGTTTGAGATCAGAATACATGATTGTTTTCAATAAATGCGCTCTATGTGT